TCAAGTTATTAAATCATCACCTGAAGTAGTAGGAAAGTGCAGGATAATGTAGTTGCATTTCCCTTGTTACCAGTGGAGGCTGGTGTGAATTCATTGATGCGAATTTTCTAGCCTGAAGATAGAATTCAAAGAGGCATTATAAGTTATAACATGTTACCTTCAACCATTACAAGGAATATTCTCTTTTGTCGTCTTTGCAAAGCATAGGGACCAAGTTAACGATGGAGCAACGGGAATGATTGCCTTCACTTTTGATCAGGTTGATCCTGATCTCTTTGTTTTATATCCTTCTGAAGTGTAACATACCTGTGTACAAACCAAGACTAGCCAACATAGATTGGAAGAGCCTACATGGGCTCAACATGTATAGCCTAAGTTATAATGTTATTAAATCTAAAGAGGGCGTGAGATGCAAATGCATCCTAATTGCTGATTTGTAATTACATCTTAGAATTCTGAAATACTTGGGTCCAAATGCTATAAAATCTTTGGCACCTCTATTTAGGAGGGGAAACAATGTTTCCTGCAATTTCAGCCCATTTTCTTTTGTGTAAATTAAATTAACTAAGAAGAGTTCGAAGTTCTTGTTTCATAAGCTTTTTTTCTTTTTGGAAAAATATTTTCTTCTGCTTTATTTGTGAAGAAAGAGTTTTGTGCTTTGTTTTTGAAAGACAAACATAACAAACAATTTAATTGTAGGAGTCTGCACATGTTCACAATGGGTTTCGGAAGGAAATAAAATATGATAAATTGTTGATTGCAGGACCATATTCACAAAACAGGCATATGTTTGAGCTTCAGATCGACTTTATAGTTTGCCTAGCAGTTCCTTTAACAATTCAACCAAGTTCAGGAATGTGTATGGCAGGAACTTCCCAAACAAACCTGTATAAGTCAATGGGATCAAACACAATTTTATCCTACTGTATATTTTTTGTACTAATATCATTCAGGATTGTTAATATGTTCCAAACAAAGTATTCTTCAGTGATTATCTATCAACAAAAGTGAAGTATAAAAACATGTAAACAAAGAACAACACTTGATCACCAGTGTCTGATACAGAAGATTGTATTCATAGATAGATTATTACCCCATGAGTGATACAAACATACAACTTTTCTGTATGTCCGTGCGCATTGAATACAAACATTTCTATTTCAAGAAGAATCTGCCATGGATGATACAGAGTACTGCAGACTTTATATGTTGTATCCCATTTTCCAAGAACCTTCAGGTCCTTGTCATTTAATACAACCACATCTCTCTCTCTCTCTCTCTCTCTCTCTCTGCAACCTGAGCAAGAGCTTTTCAAGGGATGGAAACTGATGCCTTCACCATCTTGAAAGCCTTAAAAATACATCTTTTTTCTCCATCTGCACAGTCTGTCTTTCTTCTATCTCTATCTCTTGGTTGGAGGAAAATTGATCAGTGTTGGGTTTGGACCTACCAGCTTTTTTCTCCAGTAATAGTAATGTAATAGTATTACTATTACTGGAAAGTGGAAACCGGGAAACACGCTTCTTTATAGTTAAAAACCATCTCTGATTCACTCACTTATCGACATGTTCAACCAACTTTGGCATCTCCCATTAATACAACCCCAGAAACAAACAAAACAAAATTAATTCAATAGTTACGTTTCCATGCACATTGGGATTTGGGAGTTCAACTCTTCTACTACTCTTCTAGCATAGTAGAGTATCAAAATTCAAATTCAAAACCATTAACAACCAGAATACAGTAATACACCAACATACTAAAAAATACAAATTTTATACTAGTTCTTTACATTACATATCTTGTGTGTATGCTTTGCCTAATTGCCTGCCACATTATATTATTGGTACGTGGTATATATATAGATATACGTACAGTGTTTCCTTATTGGTATGTAAAGAGATAAAAGAGAAGTAGAAAGAAAGGTTGTTTTTTCTACTTGAATTGTTTACCTTGGTAAGTTTATAAACTGGTAGGTAAATTTGAAAAGCTGAGATCTCAAATCCAGGCTAGCTAGAAGAAGTAGGTTCTTTTGAAACCATAGATCCTATGAAACCCTAGACGACTAGCATGCATTTGCAGAATTGCAGTGTGTTAGTTTCACTGTTTCTTATCTACTACTTGACTGAATTATTTTACAGTACATCATAATAGCCTGCTGTTTATTGACTGCATTTCGATCTAATTACATTTGACTACTATTTGAAGTCATTGAGTAGCTCTCAGCTCCTAGTAATTATGAAACTCATCAAAATGTGAAATTTTTAGGGAAGCCATGTCACAAATAATCAAGCTGCTGAAATTATATGTAATTCACTAATAAGAAGAAATTAAACTGGAAAGTAAGCTAAGCACTTAGTTTGTGAAATTGTGTGTAGAAGAGATGTATGTTGTCCATCGGTAAGAACTAATAAGAATTCTCTGATCAGCTCTCTCTTGACTTCGAAAAATTAATTGTGAGTTTTTCAGTTCTTAGCTAGCTAGTTCAACATACAGAAAGAGAGAGGAAGAGAATACAAGGATGCATGCAGTCGAGAGAGAGAGAGAGATCCAGACCAAATTTGTACTTTAATCATGGATATATGCATTACAAAGTCAAGAAAGAATCACGAAAAGTCAAATCCGAAGACAAAGCGCGCTGTAAATTACCAAGAAATCAAGTAGCAGACAAATTAAACAGCTACTACGAAGAAAGCTGTACGTGTTAAAGAGATTGATTAGTGTGATGTATATATATGATATAGTAAAAGAGAGTTTCAGATTACCAAGAGCTTGTTAGATATCTTTGAAGCTAGCTAGTAAATTAATGAAAGAACATAATCCAACCCATGGCATAGACAACTTCTACACATCTGATCTGATCACCATGAGAATTGAAACAAGTATAGCTATTACAGATTTACAGTAGAGCATATACATGTTATTATTGTCAATTATCATGGATCATCAGTAGAGAATGTTTGAGAGGAATGAAGCCTGGTCCGATATGCATTGAACACAAAAGGTTCTAAAGCTTCGAGCCAGACAACATTCCTCCCAACATCTCTACCAGCCACCATTACCATTTACCAACTACTACTCTTTTGAAGAAACCTAGCTACTAATCTATTGGCTTTTATAGAGGGTTGGAGAGGGTTTTATGTTTAAAAGTTGTTGGTTTGATTACTAAAGACAAAAACCCTAACTAATACACTAGATTTGGATTATTTAACAATGACTTCTACTAAATTTAGACCAACTCATTCTTAGCACTCTACACAATCACCTTAAAACCTGACCTGAATGGTTTTGGTGCCCTTTTAATTTTGTTGTCTTTCATTTCCCAGGTCAGACCTGCAACGTTACTGTTGTTTGTCAACTACCAACCTGATAACCTGCTACCACCTGTTGGTGTTGCACACAGCTCACTTAGCTTACTTGCACCCCACAAGTCCACAACACAAACTAAAAACAAAAAACTGGAAATTATAGAGATGACGATGGCAAATTAGCATCACATAAGTAGATGTTGCATAGCTATATATATATTGAATGCAATCTTCATTCTATCTTTACTTTATTGCAATTCTTCATCATTACCTTGTTATTATTTTTGGCCCCTCAATCTCTCTTGCTGCATGTCTGATCTGCTTTTATTACTAAGTGTACGGATCCAAAAAGTCCAAACAATAGCACTCAGACCTCACAAGATATAAGTCATTAAAGTCGCCTGTGACCTGTGAGTGTGAGCTCTATTTTTTAAAATTTTTTAGCTTTGGCCGGTGAAGGGTTGAAGTAGTCCCAACTCCCAACAACAATTTCTTCCATAGATGCCATTGAAATATTGAATTGTGACCACGATCAACTTATGGCACGATTTTGGGTAATGCACATCATCATTAAACTACAATAAAAGGGTTTAAGATCTGACCGGCCCAATTACATTTGTAATAGTCCAAACCAGGGCCCAACCCATAAACAATATTGTTGCGACTTGCCAGGAGACCAACAACTCGTAACTCCCCTTTTCCTTATAGCTCCTAGAACATGAAATGAAAATTACCATAGTGTAGTGTTAGCTCCCATGAGCGCCTCTTTGAATGACCCAAGAAAGCTGTAAGTTTACGTAAGTGTGCCATGTTCAGGGTACAGCAAATGAGGGCGTCACAACTCACAAAGGGCTAGTTGATATCAATCTGCTTCACATACACTACTTAACTATATCAGGAGAGGGGAAAAACCCAAACCCACAAAAGATGAGGGCACCAAAACAAGATATCTGCATAATCATATTATGCATATGTACAGTTTGATACATACATAATGTACGATTACAATTTTGTCATCTACTGAGAGAGATGCTACTATCTTAGCTACTCCTAGGGTATAACACAATTTACAATAATTTTAGACAACATTCTTTACAACCGATGCAGAATAAGCTTCTCTGTCATTGAGTCATGTTCAAGTTGTGTGAAGCTGATGCTCTATTTCTTCATGTTTGATCTGGAAAAACCTTCTTCAAGAAATTGATGAAGCGATTTGAATACAGCTCTGGTTCTACAGCAGATATTGTCATAGGGTCAAAGTGTAGTGATTTAAAGGCATGCTCAAGTTTCTTTTTTATGTTGTATTCCTGCAATATATCTATAATGCCAAAATAGAGAACAACATCATAGACCTCAACTAGATCAACCCCAAGTGAATCCGCGTCATTGTGAGGGAGCTTGCGATTAGCTTGAGCAGGCATGTTTACTCCTAGCTGGACCCTTAACCTACAAATGTAAAATACAGGGCTGAAAATAAGTTTCAACCAAAAGAAAAATCACTGCAGTAGTTGGAAACACAAAACATAATGCA